ATCGTGATCTCAATTCTGTTTTGTTTTTTTTTATGCCAGAAATGCTCTCACGTCAACAGATGAAAATAAGCGAGATGGGGAAATTTCTGTTTTTTCATTTAGTAATTCTGCACACTAATGGTTGCCCAATAATTGTACACGTGTAGATATTCTCCTAAGAAAGCCAAAACCTCACTTTTACTTACTTAAATATTCAGGTTTGAGGTTTATTAACATTTTGGACCGACTGAGAGCACTGTAGTTGTTCAATGATCAAATTAATCCTCAAAAACACACCTTGCCTAATAATTCAAGAAGAAAAAAAAGTTATAGATGGCAAAGTTTCGAGGAACAAAAATGTGTTGCACAAATTATTTTTTTATTGCATACAAAAATACATTATAGGTATGCCAGAGCACCTCAGAAAAACAAACTTGGATTCAAAGCCACAGGTCTGACAAAGCTATGTTTCAATATCAGAGGATGATTGAAAACACTATATCAATGCTGCTGCTGAAGCGTTACCGATAGAGCTTTCAAATGATGTATAACCGGTTTAATCACGAAAACATTAGCTATTGGTTTTCATCATGTTTGTGTTAGACGAACATTGAATCATTTCTCCATCAGTAACGTTATAGTCGCCAGTGACTGAAGTCTTGTTTATGATCAATCGATACAGAGACGCGATGGTCAAACATGACAACCTGACATTCAGTGTTATATAACTCATTTCAAAGATCTCGTAAAGCTTTAGTCTGCACGGTTTGTTTCGATCTAAACACTTCAAACGCTTTCAAACCCAAACCTTTCTCCAGCAGAGAGTATAGAAGCCCAAGAGGCGAAACTCTGTAGCGATAAGGGTAACGGTTTACAGATGGCGCTGCCGCCATTTTTGACTGAAAACTGCTGGAAGTCGCTAGAAGATGCGAGAGAGCAAGTGGGCGAAACGCAAGCATTCTACTTCTTTTCTTATGTCTTACAATCTCTTTTAGATTTGTTTTCTCTCTCACACGAACACACAATTTCTGCTGATGGTTTTGATCTCTGTTGCTTATTTGATTTTGATCTATTACTATTTTCAGCTAAATGTGTGCACTTGATACATGACAGAAGTTACAGAAACCTCACAATAGTTGGTGGAGTCCTTGATACAATGTTTGCAAGTTGTTCATATTTTGTGATATTTTAACTGTTTGTTTTATAAATGTTATGAACATATACCATTACATGTACCGTCCAAAATGGCGGCGGCACAGTCACGTCATGGGCACAACTTTTGCTATGGAGCGTTCTACTGAGTTTCGCCTCTTGGGCTGCTATACTCTTCGATCACAGACAGGAGCGCGTCGCAGCCGTTTGACGTAACACCGCCGGACCAAAATAAAAGTATTCTTCTGAAGTTTTTTAGTGGCAGAGTGCAAACGAGACCCGTTATCTCTTCGTCTATATGGAGTCTGATCCCTAATGTTATTTTTTCCAAACTAGGTGGTCTAAGTTTCTTCTTATTATTTTTTATAGCGCTTTTCACGATACAAGTCATTGCAAAGCAGCTTTACAGGAAATTAAGTTTCTACAATATATTTAGTAGAAGCTTATCGGTGGTGACTGTCAAATTGACGTACATATGGCAGAAATGTACGGTAAAATTCAGTTAATGACGTAAACAGACGATGAACACTATTATCAGCAATGATCTTTAGAGACTTTATGGGGCCTTAAGCAGAATTTTATTTAGGGGCCTCTCGATGCCGCCAATACGACTGATTATTGTCAATGCTTGATTATTCACACACTATAAATCTAAAACACCATTTATCAATTTTATTTGTTGTAGCTGTGTTGCTTACAACACACCAATGTCTGCCTGGCATGTTTTTTCCCTTCTATGATTTTTAATTGTAACAGTAGCAAAGCCACAAGAGTAGTCAGGTGTTAATTTGCACTTTAACGTTCTTCACACAAGTCTTAGAGTATAAGTGGCATACTTAATGTGGTGTACTGAAAAGTAGCTAAATAAACCAGCAGAAAATGCATTTATGGAACAGGATGGTATTTTAACAACATAAATTGAGCAAATCATCTGTACACCTAAAACAACAACTCTTAATCTATAACGAGCTAATTGAGGAATAATAATATTGGAGTATTATAGCAAAGACCTATAAGGTAAAGTAAATAGTATTTAGCTGTCATCAGTACCAAGTTTATGAAACAGAAGCTTATTTTTATTACAAAAATATATACCCAGGAAAGTTTTACACAGAAGACAAAAACTTTAATCTAAAAAGTTAAATGTTCTATTATAATCCTTTCCACATCTATCAGAGGTACCAAATAATCAAAACCATCAATTAGAAACTCGAAAGCCACATTCAGTTCTTCTACATCATTCTTTACGACCATGCAAACTTTTCGTCTAAAACAAACAATGTGCTTGAGCAGCGGTGATTTACATCAAAGCAGGATCTTTTTAATTTGGGGCACTACTTGTGTCTCAAAAGCTCTACAAGCAAGAGTTGATCTTTAATGAATGGGGGAATGTTGTACAAAAATAACTTTTTTCACCGGTTGAAGCAGTGGCATTACAGGAGTGAAGGTATCCCATATAGCAGTGGTCACCAACCTTTTTAGGCCCAAGATCCCTGACCTCGGCCTTTATGAAAGACAAGATCTACCTATTGAAGAATTGATAGAAAAAGACATCCCAGATTGTACCTCAAATTTTAGGCCTTTTACTTAGTATTTTAATTAGTGATGCGCCGATCAGTTGATTCAGAATTCAGATTTTCTTTTCGTTCTTTGGATTCTGATACTGATACTGATTTTTAAGCAAATTCATTTATTGGCTGTTTGCTTTATAACAAACAAACTGGCTTTGGACACAAATATCTTGCCATTTGAAATTAGAGGCAACCACTGCATTTTAATCATGATCTGCACGGGCAGTTGTTTTTGATTTAGATTCATTTCAGGATTTAAAACAAAAACAGAATGGTCTAACTTTAGGTGTTATTTATTTATTTGCTACATAAAACATCTGCACGAAACAACAACAGCAGGTCTGAATGAGACGCACTGTCTGACAGCAGGTGGCGCTTATGAACAGGGTTGCCAGGTTTTTTTGCAATAAAACTAGTCCAATCACGTTTTGAGGGGGGTTCGCGTGTAAAAATCGCATTCGGGGAAAAAAAAACTGTTTTTCAGCGGGGATCTTCAAGTAAAATTCACATTCCAGGGACTAAATATCATGTTATTGGGGTCGCTTCTACCCGCGGCAACAGTGTTAAAGTAGCCCTTGGCAACACTGCTTATGAACTGACCGCAACATAGCCGCTGTAAACAAAGCAAAGTTGCGCTTTATACGGAGAAGAAAATGCCATTGCCATCGAAATGTTTCTCAAGACAGTCCCCTTCAGTGATACATTAATATAACCCCAGAAATGTAATGCATTTTTGTACTTATTTTACTGTTTTTTACCGATCGACGGGTTGGCGACCACTGCTATATAGCAACGCCATTCTGTACAATACTGTTTAATTTTTGCAATACTGTCAAAGAAAACAACAACAGCGCTGTTCATACAAGAAGCTGATAATATGCTGTTGAAAACGACAACCTCTCCAACAGCCGAAACATACTGTTCCACCGTGTTTCCGCCACAACTGGTCCAAACTCACCCGCTCTGAAGATGCATTTGTCACAATGTGTACACATCTCGGCCTGCAGGCTTTGATCACTGTCAGCACCTCAGGAATGCCAAATGGCCATGTTGTTATGAAAGATAGGTTTGGGACACGAATGCAAAAGTAAGTGCTGACGTTGGTGGCAGGGAGCATAACTGGACCTAAACTCTGGAGAGGTGGGCTGAAGCAATTAGAAACCCTGCAAGTGTATTTTAAGCCCTTGTTCCCTCCAACGTTTGTTCCTTCAAGACTCATATTTCATTTGGTCAAGGTTTGGGCTTGTCTAAATTCCACTGAAACCGGTTCTTCTACATGTTATTGTACTT